CTTTCAGTTACATCGATGATGTACATCTATTGAACAACCCAGCTATCCTCAAGTTTTTGGATAGTGACCAACCTCGGGTTGCAGACAACATCTTTTGGATTTACCCACTGCACATCATTAGGATAAAAAATCAGACTACGGAGTACACCATGGATACCGAGGGTTTGATCTTCGGAACTAAAGCGCAGTTCCTGCACTTAGATATCGAAGTCGTTTGTCAAAATTTTGGCTTGTTCATTACTGCGAGGTATGACAAAACACGAGGTCTTGCGTTCTCTCCTGTTAGATTCATAAAGAGAGCCTCGAATAGGCCGGAGAAGCAATCGTGCAACATATTGATCGCACAAACTGCGATGATAATGCTACTTACCTCTGTAGCTACTATAGCAGCATATGATATTGAATCTCTGATTGATATTATGGTTGGCAATGACTTTCAGTTGTGTCGTTGCATTGGTACTATATTCTAGGTCCTTGACCACCCTTCTTTGTATTAGACATTTCGCTGCTGCCCTGTGGACACAAAACAAGTTTTGAAGGTGAGTGATGTTTTGAGTTAAAAAAAAAAAAAAAACATCCCCTATGGAGCCTGTTCTGATAAACGTGTGTTACGTATATGGAATAAATGTGTGTGTCTGTCATTTACCTGTGACAAACATGTAAATAATAGGGTGACTGGAGATGGTCCTAAACGGGGGTTCAGGACCATCTCCTGAACCCCCCTCATGGATCTCCCAGTGGGATAGGGGTGGGTCACACACACACACACACACACACACACACACACACGCACACACACACACACACACACTGGCTGGAAAATCAGGGATACCGGAGTTTTTTTTATTTTTGAAGTTTTTGCTTTCGGGGTAATATGAGATGGGCCCATGCGAAATGGGGTAAGTCCGGGAGATACGGGTCTGGGCCTGTGTTTTGCCCGTGTTTAAAAAACAAGGGTAGGACTCGAGGGCCCTGGCCTGAGTTAAGCTTTTAAAAGAGTAACTAATCAGACGGTCAATTCTGATCCGAGGAATGGAGTCCGACTCACACTGCTTAACAGAAACTCGAACCCACCGACTATATTACTGCTAATCTAGGCAGTCCTAACCCTCAGTGATTTGAGTCGTGCGGTAGCGCACCGAGGAGGGTTATCGTCACTGCTGTAATCCCCCCCGGGGTACTGCCGACGGCACTGGCATGATGAGTTGTCGGCCTTCATGGATTGAACAACGCTTCCATAGTCCGATACGATGCGGAGAGGAGAAGAATGTTATCAGGGTGAGGGCGTGTGTATCAGTGACTTGCTCCCTGGTACGATTGTCGAGTGACCCCGGTGCTGCGCTGACGTGTGAGGCGGCCCTTACATTAGCTTTGGTTGCAGCACCTGCGAGAATTTCGCTGAGGTGCACACCGGAGTGGGAACTAAAGTGGAGCTCATGGGGAACGTTTTGAGCAATGGCGGTGACGCTCTCGTTTGACAAGATGCTGGACGAGCACCTGAGATAAGAAAACTTATTCGAAGAATCGCAGGGGGCGGTGCCTCCAGAGGTGATGCTTTAGACTCCCGGTTTAGTTGGATTAATGATCCTGTTCAAAATGACGATTCGAGTGAAGCAACATGTGATGACTGTTATTAATTTATTTTTGAAATGTTTTGTGTTATCGATTCCTGTTCCAGTGAATAATAGCGGGATGAATGACCGTGCTTATTATTTTTATCCTTTGATGAACTGATAAAAGTGGTTATGTAAGTGAAAAGCTAGTTTAAGGGATCAACCACTACCCCTAGCCGATTGTATCTCTGCGAATCTGGTTTTACCGGCTCTATGTGTAGCCGATTGGTGAACCAATGGTACCAGGAATCGTTGCTATTTTTTTATGTGTGTGTTTGTTGCCATGATTTATGTCACCCCTTTCTGTTATAACTCACCTACTGCATGATGTGCCTTGGATTTCGTCGTTTTCGATACCGTTTGATGATGCTTGGGAATGGGTGGGTTTTTACTAGATTTTATGTACAGATGATTGCGGGTGATGGAGCGCTATCAAGTTCTTCTGAGAATCATCTGCTGGATGTTTACGAACTGCAATTGTGTTATTTGATTGTCCCTGCGGCATACATGTATTGATGGATCCCCCTACTTGATCCACTATGGATGGTTAAACTGGACAACTGTTATTAGGTAGTATGGAATGGGCTGGATACGTAGGCTACGAAATATGTGAATGATGTGAGTGAGAAGGAGATGTGTACGTGAGCGTAGGTGTAGATCGGTGGTCTGCTTGGTGCGCATGATTTGCGGTGGAATCTGCCGAGTAGTATTCGCTGTGTTTTGTGGGAGCATTGTTTTCTCAATTGAATCGCATGAGTGGTAAGATTTCCTTGCTGTAGGTAGGTATTAAGGGTCCGACTGATTTGTTGGCTGTTGCATGTAGTAATGAGGGGTGATATATTAGTGAGATGTGATGATTTTGTGAACTGGGATTATGGGTATGCTTTGAGTGCATGTGCATTCTTGAGATCATCGAGTCGTGAAATGTGTAAGCCTGGGTTGTGTCATTGGCGAGCAAAAAAAAGGATATGTGACTTTGGTTTCTAATAGAGTAGGCATGAGGGAATGGTTGAAGAACCAAGTGATTGGTGTTGTGCACGGGATGGGAGTGGTGTTGGAAGTTCCACTCGGATCAGTAGTGCTTAGTGTTCATCTAGTGGTATGAATATGGAACAGTGATTAGTATGAGGAGTATCGAGTTGAATAAATAAAGCCGGCAACATCTGGAGTGTGTATTGGTTCGGATTTCGTAAATACAAGGCTAGGAATGTGGAAGTGTCTCAACCAGTTTTGTTGCTTACGTGATCCACTATTTGTCGATTTCTGTTGTCGAAGCACTATCTTAGTTAAGATCATGACTAGTATGTGAATTTCTTCTCGTACCTCGATGATGATTTACTGTTTTCGGTCATTCCATCTGTTGATTTTCTCCTGGTATAAGTTTCTAATTTTGGAAAATTCTGATTTCCTATCCTCATACTGTGCGCCGTTTTGGACATATGATTGGATGATGGATTGAATGAATAAGTTTCTTGATTGTGTGAGTGTAGACTTTCCTTGTATCCTGACCAGTATTAGGAAGCAAAGTTACGAAGGAGTAATGGGCCATGCTTGTCAATGGAAGTACCTTGAGTGGTCAACATGTGGGACATGGATTGATGACGCGGTCATTGGCTGCATTTCCCGTAGGACGTAACATGGTATGGAATGCACTTGTGGTGTACTGAGGCTATTTCAAAGTGTGTTTACACACACAGCATCACACACACACACACATGCATACTTAGTGGGATAAATAGGTCGTTGTCAGCCTCCAATGATTACAGGGCAAGCAGTAAGAGATGCCCAGGATTGGCAGGGGTATATGGACAATTTTGTGCCGTCGCGGAAAGATGCCCAGGATTCGCAGGGGTGTATGGACAATTTGTCGCACACGCACCAATTCCGGGAGGAGTGGAGCATTCAAAATGTATAAACAAGACCGGGGTGGCGCATACATCAAATATGAACAAGACTCAGTAAGGGTATAACGAAAGCACATTTTGGGCCTCGTTTGACACCACTACAAAACCCTTACTTTGTAAGGGCGCCCTTACGATGAAAATGTGATTAATTTTCCCTTACCCCGTTTTTCGTTCCACGACTACTTACGAAAACCCTACACTTTGTCGCACTTACGTTTTAGGTGGCCCCGTTTGCGCCTAACGCGACCGAGAAGGGAATGCAAGTGTCCGACCTGGTGTTGAGGCGGACGAAATCGTGTCCGCCACCTTTGGGCCTGTGGGAGACCCAGGCCAGCCATTTCCCCAAGGCGGGCGTGGCCCTGTCACGGGCGTGCAACGTCATTCGGCCGTGAAAGTTAAAGCGCACGAGGACCCCAACCATTCGAATTCAAAATCCGCGTTGCTAGTTCGCTTCGACCACATCGGATTCTGGACTCCTCGCCCTCGCGTTCTCCACGGTGTATGCGACACTCATCCACCATTACGCCAACGCACGTGGCTTCGCGTGGCTGCCGTGTGCCTTGCTTATGCAGCGGAGTCCAGCTATGGACAGCGGTGGGTGCGATGAGGCGGCGACGCGGAGATTGTCAACCAGTGAGAAGAGCATGGTCGCTAGTGCTGTCCTCGTGGTGACGACCACCACGGGGTGGCGGGAGGTGGGCGGTTTTGCTTGATAGAAACCGACGGGCTGCGCACACCACCCACAGTTTGCATTCGAAAGACGAGCCGCCAACGACACTCGCATGCCCGCCTCCAGGGGGACCCCTGCAACGGTCGCCTCGACACGCAAGCCAAAGGCTAACCGTAGGGACCGCAGGGCCACAGCCGGGGCACCGCGCTACCCGTTGGAGGCTACCGTGGGACCGCCGTCCCGTGGTATACCAGACAACCCAGCCGTTGGACCCAGCCGTTGGACCAGGAACGCGAAGGAAACACCTGACGAAAAAGAAAAAGGAAAAAAATAAAGAGGTTTTTCGTGAAGTAAGGGTGCCACCCCTACTTTCAAGTCAACTCCACGGCCTTCCTTATGTTTGCGTCCCTTTTGGCTGGGGAGTCCTTACTTTTGTGGGGCTCGCCCTTACGGCGGGGAATGTGAAAACAAATTCGGCATCTTTTTTTTCGTCATCAGGGAGGGGTGGAACGATGAAACCCTTACATGTAGGGGTTTTGTAGTGGTGTCGAACGAGGCCCTTTGGCCAACTTCGAGGGGTCGAACGCTAATCTCCATGTCTTTATGGGAGGGGGTAAGCCTCTAACGTTATTATTATTTCCATCTACCAGTTCGAACTCATGACCCAGGTATCAATTGTTAAATGTGAAAAAAAACCAAAAAAGAGTGCCTACCTTTCCCATACGAGGGCTGGGCGGGTACCGGTCACTTTTTTGGCCGACCACGCGAGATATTCAACTCTCCTGTTTGACAGAGGGCTCGGTCTCTCTTAGCGTGTTGTCGTTCAGTGAAGCTGGGGTGCAGCACGCTGGTTAGTCGAATCCGCTCCGCTGGCGCGCAGGCGTGCCGTCGGCGGCAAGTTTTCCACTTCTTTCCCTCTCCATCTGCACTCCATTTGGCGCTGCCTTACTGGCGGACTGGGCAAAACGTTTTTTGGGTACACAGAGGTTGATCGTGTATCAAGATGGGGCGTTGCCCGCACAACAAGAAGGGAAACAGGAAGGCTACGCTGCACAAAACGGCGAAAAGGACAAGATTCCTCAGCAAAGATATCCTTTCGTTTTGCCTGGAAGTTTTACCCAAGACAAACAAACAAACAAAAAAAGTGTTTCTGAAAGGAAGAGGAAGAATGGTGGGCGGTAGAACGAAAGAGAAGAAACCTTCACAGCTCGTCCGTTCGAATTCTTTCGTTTTGCCTCCAAGTGTACCCAAAACGGAAAATGAAAAACCATCCTGAAAGGAAGAGGAAGATAGAAGGCAATGGGCGGTCGAAGAAAACGTGTTTTTCGACGCTGGAAAGGTTCAATTAACATCACCCGTGCGCAAGGATGACAGGGACACATCGAGAAATGGTCCAAGTTAGGAAAACGGAAAAAAAAGGAAAGAGAAGAAAATTCATAGCAGAGATGAAGAGCCATGCTTGATAATTCTGTTTGTGAAGCGAATTTGTGGCCTGACGAGGTGTGTGTGTGTGTGTGTGTGTGTGTGTGTGTGTGTGTGTGTGTGTGTGCGTGTGTGCGTGTGTGCGTGTGTGCGTGCGTGTGCGTGCGTGTGCGTGCGATTGTGTGTGTGTGTGTGTGTGTGTGTGTG